GCCTATCGCGCCTACAACCTAAGGCCGGCTAGGAAATAAAATGCGAAGGGGAAGAAATATTATACCTTCGCGTAGTTTGCACGAAGCCTTCTCTGTCGCGTATAGGGAGAGACGAACTCGACGCCGGAGACGGCGGCGGCGAGGGTTGCCCGCGAGGAGGAAGGTCCGGCGGGCTCTCACTTAGAACGGCTAAGAGGAGCGGTTGTTCGGGCGAGAGGGGGAGAGTCGCGTGCCAAAGGGGGGAGATGCGATGTTCGTGCTATGTTCATTTTTTTTTTTTTTTTTTTTTTTTTTTTTTTACAGGTCAATCTCATAAAGAGAGAGAGAGGAGGGATGGAGTTGATAAGAGTTTTTTTTTTTTTTAATTTAAATTTTATTATTATTATCGTTAGTGATAATAGGGGAGAGAGAGAGAATGTGATAGTTTTTTTTTTTTAATTATTTTTTAGGATAATAATTTTTTTATAATAATAATAATATTATTATTATTATTATCTCTCCGCATCTTTTTGCCGAACACGTCATCGTAGCGAAATGAACTTCTGCCCTAGGTAAATTCGACGTTCCGGACGCAACTGCACTGTCTGTTTTGTCGTCAGGGGTCGTTCGGACCACTTATTTTAGCAGTCGGGACGAAAAATAAAAATTCGCACATTTTTTAGCCCGCGCGCGAAACCGTGGTCTAACGAGCGTCCGTCGTAAGTGGAATCGACATTTCGGACTCACTCGTGTGGTCTGTTTCGTCGTTCGAGGTCGTTCAGACCACTTTTTCAGCAAACGATCCAAAATGATAATTTGTGTATTTTTAGCTCGTATTTGAATCGTTAACGACATGGACGCCCTCATTAAGTAATATCGACGTCCTGGATACACATGACATTAAAAATAAAAAAATGATGCCAACACTAAAGATCTAATAGATCTAACTCGTGTCACCATTCTTCGTGACACTCTTTAGATCCACTTCGTCAAGTGATTGAGCCAATTCAAGCCAAAATCGCGCACGACGCGCTACATAATATTTTTCGGCCCGATCGGAATCATCCGATGTGTCAAATGCTGATCGGACTTCGCCCAAGAGAAAGCCAAAGCCTAGCAAAATGACCTCGGCTACATGCCCCTCAACACATGCCGAAATGTCTGGAATAGATATCTTGCGCTACAGGGGAACTCATTTTCATAAAGTACGACCCTGATGCACTCGAGTGGACTTCCAATACACTTGACATAAAAAATAAAAAAAAACTGATGCCAACAGACTCTTTGCAGGGGGTCATTTTAGTGCCAAAGTTTATATATGTGTCAATTTAGTCCCCAAGCTCTTCTAATAGGTGCTAAAATATTCATCTCTGTGAACTATTTGAGCCATATTAAAAGATTCCAGGGGTTAATTTTACTCTTTTATAGATTTTGAGATTGAAATGATCTCATGCAAATAGTCTAGGAACTATTTTGACATTTTAGCCAAAATAAATGGAGAATGAGAATTCATAAAGCAAATCTCAAATATTTAGAACATTATTAATGATAACGATGCGACGGCCAATTATCTTACTTCCTACAAGTAACTGATTATACTTGCTTTACAACAGGGGCTTGAATCACCAAATGTCCCGTATTGCGGAACCCAACTCTCTGTTAGAAAACAAATGGCAATTGATTTGCTTGGAGGTGAGATCAGAGTATTAAAATCCGCCGCTGCCTGGATTGCAGACTACTGTGAAAGTATATCCACTCGAGCTCATCAGGTCTCCTCTTCTGCGATGTAGGTATTCCATCCGGCCACCCATTTTATTTATTATTAAGTTTTCAATTAATATTGTAACTCTTCCATGTTTCTATTTTAAATTGGGCCTGACTAGTTGGTGATGGAGTGAAGCTTTTGTTTGTCAACTTAGTTTTGTCATTTTATCCATTAGCACGGATGACGTCATTTGCATTTATTGAGCAGAGTCATGCAATGAAACTTGCTATATTGAGGAGAAAATAACTTAAGGATTGCTCCTGGTTCTGATTTAGGGGTTGTTAGGTTTGCTGAGAAAGGAATGAAGTGTAAAAATAATGTAATATATTTGAATATTTTGATTTTTTTTGGTTCAATATAAAATAAATACATGATTTCAAATTTTCTTGTTTAATTTGATAAAGAAAAGTTAAATCGGTATGAAATATGTGTAGTAGGTGAAGGCAGTTGGGCAAGGGGCAAGTAGCAGGGGGCGGCGGAGGAGGCCGGCGACTGGCAGGTGTGCTAACCGGGGGGGGGGGTGGGGGGCGTAGCCGACAGTGGCCGGTACATCCGAAGGAGTTAAACCATGAAGAGGAGCATAAGAGTTTTATTTCCTTGGTGTCGTTTAAGTAGAGCTTCTGCATAATTCATGAAGAGTCCTTAATAAGGACTCACTAATTTAGTTGGACTAGTTATAGAAGGTGGTGATGTGGATGCAAATGATGAAGTTGAGGTACTCCTTGTTGCTGCCTTTCAATTTCAAGAGTCATATAGCAGGAGCTCCATGGAGAGGCATGCAATGGAGTTGTACAACCTTCTTTAGTTTTAAAAAGATTTTAATGTATTTAAATTGAATTAGAGAATAAATTTTAAACACTCTGTAATTTTGTATTATATTTGTTTATCATTTTGATCAAAAATTCAAATTTTCAAAACTTGCAAAAGAATTAGAGTGCACTGCATTTTTTTTTCCCTGCTGACCAAACAGTACTTAAATTAGCTTTTATTTGAAGTTTAGCACATGGCAGTGTTAAGACAGTACAGAATCAGCTCAAAATAGTTAATAAAAAAAAAAAAGGAAAGAGCTCTGTACATTTACATATCCGACACCTAAACTTGAATTTTTATGTAGTTGCCACTAGGGTTGTAAACGAGTCTAGCTTGGCTTGGCTCGTGTTCGAAATCAGCTCGTGTTCGAAATCGGCTCGTGAACAATGTGTTCGTGTTCTGCTTGATTTAAATATTTGTGTTCATGTTCGGCTTGTGTTCTGCTCGAAATTACGTTAAACTTAAATTGAGAAAAATAGTTGTAAAATGTGGGATTCGAAACTGGATCAAATATATACAAAGAAGACACTAACCACATTGTCACATGAGGTGATATGATTTAAATTTAGACATAAATATGTATAATATATTATTATATAAATAATATATGTAATATATTGTTATATAAAAAGTTATATATATATTTTTTTTCGAGTCATTTCGAGCCGAACACGAGCGAACAAACTGTTGTTGGTGTTCGGCTTTGTTAAATTTCCAGCTACACAACATATTCCT